TGAGGTGATCATATCTGTTGATGCTCATTTTCTCAGGCTGCGTGGTCAATGTTAGTGCGTGTGTGTGCGTGAGTGCGTCTGCTTGCTCGCCTATAGCCACCGCTAAGCCCGCAAGATTGCCGATCAGTTTTTCCTCTTGATCTATTTATATCCCGATACGCTGAATATTTGGGCGTATGGCAGCGCACAGTTATACCTCTGTTACCACCGGGGAATCTTCCCCAACGGGCTGACTTGCCTCAAACACTCTCAGACAGCTGGAACAGGCGGGTTTTTTTCCCCAGCTGGCTGAAGGAGTGTGTTCGTGTGAGATATTTCACTTTGTAGGTAAATCTAAATGTGCACCCTCCCTTTGGGTGCCCAAATAACTTTTGTTTTGGCCTTGCGTGAGTTTAATATAGAGGAGAAGTGAATAACAGGCACAAACACAAACCACCTCCATCATGAGCACTGAAAAAAAGAAAGGCCTTGGACCATAGAGACCACCAAAGGAGAAGATCATGCTGTTGACCTGTAAAATGGAGAGACACAGTGTTGCTTCTCTTGCAGATTTGCTGCAGTGATTGGGAGTGCAAGATCAAATTTACTGGCCTGCATTTTGAGGCCACTGAATGCATTTATCCAGATGGAAATTGGAATTAATGTGTTGTTTGTTTTTCTATTTCTGTGGGGTGTTTGGTGTGTCTCTCCCCTCTCTCAGCTGAGTTCTCTAGCTGATATCCATTTCAATCAGCTCTTTTCACCCACAGGTGACGTGCTCCGTTCAGTTTATCGTTTTCCCTCGCAAGCCTTGTGAAATTTATACACAGGCGTACTGCAGCAGCATACTGCATGCACTGCTGCCCGTAAAAGTGTTGCCTTCAGTGTCAGCAGAGCCCCCTTCTCTGCCGATCTGTCGTACAGTTGCCCAGAGAGATCTGTACTGTACCAGCTGTGAGTAGGGGTAGACAGGAGGGGAGGGTGAGGGAAGAGGAGAGGTGATGAGAGAGACAGAAGGTGTGGAGGGAGCGAGAGATGAGAGAAGGTGTGAGGAGGAGGAGAAGGAGGAGGAGAGAAGGCATGAGGGGAGAGTCGGGGTGAGAGATGGGAAGGCAGCAGAACGAAGGGGAGAGTAAAGAGAGGGGTGGCTGGAATTGAATATCAGAGGGGGGACATGGTTGGGAGGCACAGGAGAAGAGATGAGAGGAATAGAGTCAACATTTGTGTGCTTGTTTTCTCCAACCCCCTGCTCTTCATCAATTTCACCCCATTGATTCATCGACTTTTGCACAGAAAACCTTCAAGCTTAGCTCAATCCCCCCTCGCTTGTCTTCTCTTTTCTTCTGCCAATCCCCTTGTTTCTTCTTGCCTCAATCCTTTCCGTCTCTTCCCTCACCCCTGCAACCTGTGACTTCCTCTGCACAGTTTCCTTTTCCCTCTCTTTTCTCCTGCCTCCCCTTTCATCAGTTGTTTGATGCAACATTAGTGGATAGTTTCCTCAATCCTGCCGCCCACCCAAACCCCTCTCCCACCTTCTCTCCACACATTGCACCCACTGTTCTTTTTAATACCACTAATTAAGGTAAAGCTCGTTAACATAGAACATCAATTAGTCTTTAACAAGATCAGAGGCTGGTGTTTTGGAGCGATTACAGTACTCCCCTCTCCCGATGTTCTTCTCTGGACTCTACCCCGGGTTGTATTGATGAATGTGTTGCATATTCACTTTGGCCTGGAGCAGTGGCAAGCCAAGAATTGCACACACAGGGCGGTGGTGGGGCCGTCATGTGACATGGGATGTTTTGATCGTTAAGTGTAATTCTCAGCAACGATAAATCAAATTCATTAACTGCAAATCAATATTTTATACAATCAATCCGTATAATGTCAGGAAATAATGCCTTCTATTGAAATCAGCAGGGGACACAATTTATCACATCGACTCTAAAATTAAGTACTAAATTGTACTTAAGTCTAAATTGCACACTACTTTACTTTACTGCATGAACTGATTTTGTTTTTGAGTGAACACCTTTAAACATTAAACGATAGTAAGCAGCAGCTCAGTGACGCCTTAAAGCAAAACTTTTCTCAGTTAATACAACACGGTTTTCACACATCACGACTTAAGAGACAGTTTAGAATAAATGAGCAGTGACAGTATATTCTGCCTTTTTTAAAGACTGAAGAAATAACAAGGCAAAGGTTGCTTGAGTGACAAAGACAGTAACGTTTGATTGCTGATGTGCGTCAAGTCAGTCAGACCTTGTGGAGAGATCCAGGGTCTATTAGTTGATTCATTGGTCAATCAACCAATCAATCTGAGGACATATCCTTGGATGGCATGAGGGCATGTTTTGACAGTTTTTTTTACATTTAATGGACTAAGTGATGAATTATCTACAGATTAACCGATAATGAAAAAAATGTCAGCTGCAGCCCTACTTACAGTAGTAGATAGATAAGAATTAGTAGAGCAGACTCAAACTCCTTCATTTACTGCATGTACTTTGTAAATGTA